ACTTGGGAGGCTGAGGCAGGAGACTCGCTTGAGCCTAGGAGTTGGAGGTTGCTGTGAGCTAAGATGCCATGGCACTCTACCCAGGGGGCCAGCTTGAGGCTCCTGTCTCAAACAAAACAAAAAACAAAACAAACAAACAAACAAGAAACATAGCTGTGGTTGGTCCTATTTATCTTTAGATATCATTGATATTTAAATCTTTAGAGCCATTGAGGACCAGGCCAAGAGGCCAGGCGCCAGGGAAGAGGCACCTGTCACATATGTGAGGAGGAGGTGCAGAGGATGGACAGGGAATGGGCAAAGAAGGGAAATACACCTCCCCTTCCTGGACCAGCCTATTTCTCCTCAATGACCAAAACAACTGACTCATCACACTTTAGAGAAATACAAATAGCCCAAGAATTTGACTTCATCTTTGGAACTTCAAATTATTGTTTGAATAATCTAAGTCAACAGTGGCTTGAGGGCAGGAGACAGGCGCTGGTGTTAGATTTAGAAGCGGTTACCATCTGCCTCGTCCTTAAATCGTATCAACGGAAGGATGGGGCAAAAGCCACAAATACAGCATCTACTATCTTTAAGAACAGCAACCACTTTCCACGCCTTCCTCATTCAACTCTCCAGCGTTTCTCTCCTTTTCTCCAGCTTTTACTCCAGCCAGGACGGGCACCAGCGGTGGTGGGAAGCGCCATCAGTAATCCCCTCCCATAAACGGTGACAGGAGAAAAGAAAGACCTTATTCTTTAACGATTTGAACCTCTCTGACTTCCTCTAAATTCGCCAGGCACACATTATATACCACCGTCGAAAATAAAATGTACTAAGTCGTCAAAGGGAGTTTTATTTTGTTTTGTTTTTAAGGTTAATTATAGTGCTGGCGGGGACATTGCTTTCTGCCTCATATCACTAGAAAAATTCTTCAGTGGTGGTGAAAAATCTTACCCCATCAGAGATGCCAAGGTCAACGAAACCCAAGTAATTGATCTGGGAGATGCTTGCCTAATTATTAAATATTTAGCAAACATTTTGTGAACATTCGGCTGTTTGCACCTGGCACCTTCTCCGGGGCGTGCTGCCTCCTGGCAACCACCTTTCCCCTCCACCCCTAACCTACCAGGCCCAGCCCGCCGCCCGGGGCAGCAGCACCCTGTGGGGGGCAAATCCTGGGACCCAAGGACATTTCAAAGAAACCGCGGTGGTCACATTCCATTTCCGTTTTACTAACAAAAAACCAGATGCTTAAAAATGGGGGAGGGGACATAGAAATAAGGGGAAATCTCTTGTAGTTTTCCCAATTTAAGTTCTCAGGCACCACTGGGACTTCATTAATTAGGGATTTAAATGCGAAAGTGTCTCGCTCACCAGTTAGATGCTTTACAAACGTCTCGGGCTTTAGTTGGGAGTTTTGGGGATTTGTAGAAGTGCCCCTCTCCGTCCCGCTTTGCCTTTCCTACAAGTGCCTTTCTTGAATTACAAGACTTTTCCCTAAGTCACCAAACCGCACACATTGTCCTCCCCCCCATTTTTTTTCTTTTTCGTTTTTAGGTCAAAAGCAAATCAAAAAATAATGACCCGCGAGAAAAGTCGGGGAGATGGTGCCCCAAAGCCAAGTCGGCAGGACTCAGCCCTCTCCTCCTGTGCGGGTCCCACGCGCGAGCTGGAGACGGTCCCTACCTGGGGCCGGGCGGCGGCGGCGGGGTCGCGGCGCCCATGGCTTCGCCGGCCTGGGAGGCTGGGCCGGGAGACGGGAGCGACTCGGCGCAGCC